CACACATGTTCACAGCTTATATCGACTTGTAAACGTGTTAATTTTGTTCAAATTAAACTGCAGTATTAGGTCTGCAAGAGGTATCCAGAGAAAACAAGTTCAACATACGTTCATCAGGCCTGATAACCTGACCCTGTCCTCGTTCTAACAGAGGCTCCGTCTCCTTAACAAAAGCAGTCATTCCACCAAACGCCGGAGACAGAATCTAAACAGATAAAACAACGTCAATGCCAAGATAGCGCAGAGGGAGCTCTGTTAAAGCCCACCAAAAGGCACATGTAAGCACACATCAAGATGAGAATAGCAAGGATATCGAGAAGACTGGCAATGAACACAATCTTAATTCTCCTGAAAAGAAGATAAAGTTGAACGCTAAAGGGTATTAACAAATTATGACCCACTTTAACAAATTCTCCCAAGAATACTAGTGAATATATGAAATATCATATATTTGAATTGCGGAGAAAGATATGAAGACATGATTGATCATCCCAGTAATACACAACACTGCTTAAGTTGTGTATAACTCCGATGATCAATCATGTCTTCAAATTCTCCCAAGTAGTATTAAAAGAAAGGCACAGAGATCAGTAAGGAGATCTTGTCTGTTGGTACTGTCAGGGTACACACAATGACACACCTCTTCAACAAACTCCTGTATTCTGGCTGTGAGTAACTGTTGGAAACTTTCAGCCTCTTTAGAATCTTCTGATGTCCTTTCCTGAATGTAGTAAAAATATATATATAGGACTGGATTTATGAAAACGTGGTCAAAGAACGCTTAGAGTTTACGACTCCTAAAGACCCAAAAATCACTCCAAGCATCATTCGTAGTATCTGCACAACTAAGGTAATAAAACTAAAACCAAAGCTTGGCTTTTCTTGATCCCATTTTTCCGATCCTTGAATGGCTTGAATGTTCTCTTTTTTTCTTTTTTTTTTTTTAGTTTTTATAAAGACTGCACTTTCACCACCGCAATGGCTGGCCCTGCGATTACTTTGCCAAAACCTGTGGTTTGTTTGGCATACTTACCATCAATACAGCCAACATCATGTCGTAATTGTTTATAAGGAAGATGAGCTGCTCCTTCCGCAGAGGAAACTCCGCCGCCATTCTTAAGATGAAGTTCTCGACCTCAACTTGTAAAGCGGCGAGAACTTTGTTAACCTTCAAAAGGGAAAAACAGCTCAGATCAGAAAACATTTTTCCAACTTCTTAGACAACAAAGTAAGGCTGTACCTTTTCATCTGGGAAGCTTTCGTTCAAGCTGACAATGGCGGCAGAAAACTCTGCATATCGACGAGTTATCTGAAAGACAAATAACAAGA